AGCTTCATTGAAAGCATCTAAGCTCTAAACACAACCTAAACCAGCTAGAGGTATTTATAGCCTAATAGTCTGCGTAAAAAAACACACCTGTGAAAAACTGCTGACTGGTCTGTGTTTGATTTACAACCAGAGGCGCATAAAGAATTTACTAAGTAAAAGTAAAAATACCCTAACAGAAGATGACTTTGGTAAAAATTCATTTCAATGATAAGAAAATTACTTAAAAGTCATAAAACTGTAAAATTAAACAACTCTTTTTTATGATGAGTCATATTTAACTTAGTAAGTAAATTTTATTTGTACACCTTTCACAGATAAACATCACAAAGTGCTTTTCAAGGAGCAGAGAGAAAAACTAATAACATACAATAAACCATAAAGGCAAACAATAAAACAAGTTAAAATGACTAATAAAACATTAATATATTTAGTTAAAACCTGTCTGAACAACAGAGTCTTAAGTGCCAGTGACGTGTTTATCCTTCAGATAAAAAAAAGTCAAAGAAAACTTTGTTCTATTTAAGAAACTTGGCCTACCACACATTATTTTACCCATTTGGACACATAACTGGTCTAATTTCTTTTGAACTTGGATTGGCAAATGGGAAACAGGAAGTGACATCAAAGATGAACTCCTTTAAGAAAAAGAACTCACTGGGCTTTGTTTATTGAAACATTATTATTTGAACTCTCACTCTTTTTTGTTTCTGACTGATAGCGTCTCAAAAYAATCTAAAACATCCGATTCCTCTCCACAGWCTGGGCTTTTGAGCATTTTAGCGTAGCTCTGTTTTCATGCAGACATTCCCCTTTGACATCACTTCCTGTTACCTCACATGCAAATATCTCAACAACTGTTCATCTCAGCTGCATTAAAACGATCTTGTAACATGTTTTCAGTATTATCTTTCCAAAAATGCAGTTGTATTATTACAAAAAGGTTGATGTCACAAGCACTTTAAGCTGATTCTTAAAGAAGTCAACAGAATCGGCCTCACGGAGACACAGGCGTTCCACAATCTAGGAGCTCGATTTTGAAAGGACAGGTCCCCTCGAGTTTTAAATCTAGTTTTGGGAACCTTTAGAAGATTTTGGCTTGCAGACTGAAGATTGCGGCCATAGAGTGGGGAGTCAGCTCTAAAAGTCCAAACTCAAATTTTAAAATAATTCTGAATTTGACAGGTAGCCAATGAAAACAAGATAAAACTGGTGTGATGTGTGCCCCTCTGTTATGTTAAAAGCCTTGCTGTGGCGTTCTGTATCATATTTAAAATTGTAATGTGTAACGAGGTGTTAAATTATAGGGACTTTGATAAATGCGCTGCCTGATCCCGGCAGTGCGTGGGTCAGATAATTTTTTTTTGCTTGTTTTCATGCTTACCCTCCGCTTACCATTTTGAAATCTATCTTAAGGTTTTATCTAGTTTGTTTTCTGCTTTGGTTTGAAAAATAGTTGCGAAATTGTGATGCGCACTGTGTTTACGGAGTCCTGCACTTTGTTTATGTTATAATTGAAGTCAATGGAGCACTTGCTTCCTACAGGGTTCCCACGGGTCCTTGAAATCCTTGAAAGTTTGTGAATTTGAAAAAATTATTTCAAGGTCCTGGAATGTTTGTGAAAACAGCCAAAAATTACACTTGTCCTTGAAAGTCGTTGAATGTGTTTAGGGGATTGAAATTCTCTATTCACATGACTGATTTTCATCATCTTTAAAAAAATTATAAAATAAAATAAAAAAACGTACATTGGATAAAAATGAACACAAAATATGGATTATTCAGGATTACTGTAAACTGACGTCATTGTTTCTGACTCAGCAACTTCTATGTTGTTCAGTTTTTCATTGAATTTACATGATATTAAASCTGTTTATTGGTAACATTCTGCKGTAGCAGTAGGTAATTGCYGTTGYRYGTGGTTCTTTAATTTGAGGAAATTGATACTGGAAAGTCCTTGAAATGTCCTTGAATTTGATGTTGACCAAGGTGTGGGAACCCTGTTCCTAATTTTCAGCCTTTAAAGACCTCTAAATCTTTAATGGGTGGTCCAATTTAAAAAAACTAAATAGTTTTGGAATCTGTTCACAGAGCCTTATGAGTACAAAAGGAAAAACAGCTCTAAATTAAGTTTGAAAATTTTATCTAAGCCCCTATAAATTAAAGTAAAGAAGTAAAAGTATCATTGAGTGTAATGAAATGAAAGCAAACGTTATGTACTTATTTCCTGTACACCTCTGTTTACAACACAAATGGAACAAGTAGTTTGAGGTGATGGAAGTTGCAAAAAAGACGACGTGACTGCCTGAGGAGCAAAATGAAAGGTGGTGGGGGAGGAGGAGGAGGCGGCAGTGTTGGGAGGGGTTGAGAAAGACCACAAAGTGTAGGCGGAGGAAATCTTGAAGGAGTGGGGAACTTGACAATCCCCTTGAGATGGATAATCAAGTAATGACCCGCGAGGCCTCAGCCTCATCTGATTATAAATAACCAATGGAATCATCATCTCTGATTGTGTTTCCATTCCTCCTTCTCCCCTCTCTTATTTATACCTCCGTCAGCCGTCTTCACTGTAGGTAGACGCCGCTCATAGGGGTGGGGGGAGATGGCAGGAGAAAAGCCTAACAGAGATTCTAATGATGTGGCGGCAATTGTGACAAGATTTTCTTTCTTTTTTTTTTTTTTCTTTTTGAGCGACTATTTACCGGTTGGCGGGGTCACGGAAGGTTGATGAAATGACACCTCCCTTTTGTGCGTGAGGGAGGGCGAGTTTGTCAGGTTGTTATTAAGCCTGATTCAGCCAATTGGCTCAGAGTGGGAACCCCGTTTGTGTGAGCGGACACGGAGATAAAAAGTTGACAGCAGAGAAGAATAGAGTATTTCCGTCCCCTTGCTTTGTGATGATTACTAATTATCCTGCAGCTTAAGGAGGCCAGTGGCAGAAATTCACTGATTTCATAATTTAACGGAGCTGTCGCTGAATACTCAGTCAGCCGCTGATGGCTCGCACGGAATGATATGCAATTCCTCTCTTTTCTTTGATAGAATAGTGGCGATGATGATTATAGTTTGTGCTGCACTCTATGACATGAATCCTGTTGACGTTTTACACTGTTTCGAAAAGTTTGGCAGGTTCGCCGCGGCTGGAACGCACTCGAATCGCTGCAGAACAATAGTTCAGCTCAATAAAGCGTGAAGCGCCGGCATCAAATTGAGAGCTGTCAGAGGAGAGAAGAGACACCCGCTGCCTTGTCTGTCCTGATGTTTTACCTGTTCAGGCACTATTTGCTCTTTGTCCCTTTAATTATTTGAGACAGGAACACAGAGACGCAGAACTCTCACTTTTTATGTTCCACATAAAGTAGACCAGCAAAAGAGGGAAAAAAAACATTTTTACTGTAAACTTTGATGGCTACCAAAACATCTCGTATTTGAGCAATTTTTAAGAAACTTGTATCTGTATTCACTGGATTTTTGGTGTGGTAGGAGCCAGGGTCAGCCCCACCAAATTTGGCACCCTAGGCCCCATTTGCAGTTTTCTTAACCTCACTGCCACTTTACAAACATTCACATTTAAAATTAAATAGTTTTGTCTTTGACATTATTTTTTTATCTATAGAAGTTGTCCAATTAAATTAGTAACAATATAACTGATTTGAAACAGAATACCAGTCTATCTCATACCTGCCAACATTTTATGTTCATCTTAACCAGCAGATGTGGAGTGTAGCAGTTCTAGGGGGGGTGCAGGGGTAAACTCACCTGAAAATCGAAACTACGCATTTTCCAGCCATTTGAAGAGCATTTTACTAAAATAACATAAAATCTGTATTTTATCAAGGTAGAATACTGAAAACCTGATTTTAACCTGAACTTTTTAAAAAAAAATTTCAGCGATTTTTGATCAACCATATCACAGAAACGGCTGCACCGATCAGCATGAAATTTGGCAGGAATGTAGATGAGTTTGACCTACACTGTGCCAGCCAACTGTTTTATGATACACCCCATACTTGAGGAGGGGGCTCCATTTGAAAATGGGGTGTTTGGACATACAACTATGCTCATAACTCAAAAACTGTTCAACATAGGAGCTTAAGAGTTCTAGTGAATTGATGCTTTGCGTACGTAGGATCATATATGCTACCGCTATGCAGTATTTAGTTTTGTTTCTATTCACACGCTGAGCATCAGTAGTCAGTCTTGACTGCATCATACTTTTATCACAAAGCATCCTCTGCACCATATAACCTCATGTAGTATAACACAGCAGGCTGAGAAACGCACAGAACAAGTTACTAAACTTGAGTAATGAGTGATTATTCTACAGCCTAAATCAACTATACCCTGATAAAAAAGAAAAAAAAAATTTTTTCATCCCCCATTTGTGGCACCTCCTAGATGGACGGTGCCCTTAGCAGTTGCCTATATTTCCTATGCCACGGGCCGGCCCTGGTATTGCTGAGGCTGATCTCCATCACATACTCTCAGCGCTACACATTGCACATCTTTACCTAAAACTTTGGCCATAACTTTGAGTCGCCAAAGCTTATTTGTTAACCTAATTTCTCACAAATCACTGGACGGACTTTGATGGAACCGTCAGTTTTACAGAAATGGAGCTCTAGCTTGAGGTGGTAGTAGTTGAGAGTCCTCCTCAACACAGACTTTGAGCACCAACACATCCTTTTAGATTTCACTGATTTGGCCCGACATTGCCCGTTTAGAAAGTTTGACCAAAACATAAACTGATTATAAGACGATTTTCAGCATATCTGAGAAAAGAGGATGCAAAATGATTATTAAAATGTGGCAGTGCAGAATCAAAAATGTTTCACGAAACAGTAAAGCAACAAATTATATTCTAAATATTCTAAGGTGTACTCTGACTCTTTTTTTCTCCCGTGCTTGTAAGTCCAAAAAAAACCCTTGTTTTTTTAGGATCATTTAAAAGTTTGTCTTGTTGACTGGAATTTATTTTCTCCCTGTTTGTTTTAAATGTGTTGGTGCGTTCACAGGATCACTGCCACACTGTCTGTCTGGACTCAAGGATCGACTACAGGAGGCTGGTCAAACCTGCAGCTGGGAAACTCTACTACCTGTAAGACTCATAAGACTCCCTCTCCATCGCTTCCCTCCTGTTTTTACGCTCCAGCTCCGCTCATCTCCGAGATGCAGCAGAGGTCTGGCAATGAGTCGACATGAACCTGCACACAAACATTCAGGCACAGGAAATGTTTGTGCACATTCTGTAGTTTGATTTTTTTTTTTTTTTTTTTTTTTTTGAGGATGGAAAGAGAAGGCAAACAGGTGCATAAATGGGCAGAAGCAGGCAGGGGAAATTTAAAAAGACCTGCATTACCTTGAAAGAGCCATGAAAAGAATGAAAGGAATCAATAGAACATGAGAAAATGGCAGAGCTTTAAAAGCTAGTTTTCCATTTTTCTCATTACATATACACTGTTAGGGGAACGCACACGCACGCACACASTCTGCCAAACAAGATTTATTCATTTACTGTATGTAAATAGAGCTCATCACACCCTTTTGCCTGGAGTTAAAACACAARCGCACAAACAGACACAAACACACACCCTTCACAGTCTCATTCAMAGCCTAATGCTCGTGTTTAGAGCCAAACATCCTGGTTTTTAGTTGATGGAGTGAAAAGCTAAGTACCTGACACCCCTGCTCTGCTCGCTGCCAGCGTTTGATGTGGCCACTTCAGCCTTATTAATTTCATATCCAATTATTTCCCCCGTGTGTGTTGCTGCAGCACCGGGGAGCTCGGCGCAGAAGCCTGCTTGGACACGCTGTTTGAGGAGTTGGCATTAAGACAGAGAAGTGGTAAGCAATGTTTCAAGTGAAGCAAGTGGGGTTCTGTGGAAAGGTTTTGAACAGTTAATATCTTACCTGCTGTAGATAGCTTTTTTTAATAAACAATTTGAGTTTAATTTTGTCTCAATTGACACTAATGGCTAGCTTGAGCAGGACCCTAAAACAACTCCAATCTGTAAAATTACCTGTCACAGTTGAGGGCATTGTTCCWCTCATCCACTTAACAGCTGAACTAATATTTTCTCAGACAACATTTTCTAAGTTTGTTGCAACATTTAAAAAAAGTTTAACAAAAACACGTATTTGCTTTAATCTGGGGCATACAAATATTAATTTTTTTTGTGTTAATGTTTAAATATAAGAACTAATTTAGCAAAAACACAATTTTAAAGACTAATTTGTCACTTCCTGTTTACCCCTGCTGCTTTTCCTGTTTTCGTCAGCTGTAGCTCCGCCTCCTGGCTCAACAAGAAAACACATTTTTCTCTAATTTCACCCCTACGACATAAATGTTTTTATCTGTGATCTGTGAAGCATTTTGAGTTGTGTTGACTTATGGTTTAATACTGTATCTGTGTTGAAGTTTAGCTATTGACTCTGATTCCTGAAACTGATACACCATGATTGACAGGTCTGAAGAAAGGGGAATTACTGAATGTCACATGGTGGACTGGATATTAATATTATTAATATTAGCGTTTTAGCTTTAGCTCCCCTAAATTTTTTTTTTTTTTTTTTTTTTTAGCTTTTTATCATCAGCGGAGCTAAGGAAATTATAGCAGTTTAGGTGTTAGTGAAGCAAATATTTTGGTTAGCTGTGCCCACCCCTGGTAGCAGATTATTCTTTTAACKTTTATATTCTGTGAGTTCAGCTTTACGTGGTTATTTAGAGGAAAATGTTATGGTTATTTGCATGAACAAAATGCTAACTATCCCTTCTAATACAACATGGGGCACTTTTAGCAATAGGATCACAAAAATTCTACCAGAATAATAGTATAATGCAAAATTGGAAGCTGTGTAAATGTTTACAAAATAGCTTTTGCATCAACCAAGATGGCATTTTTGCGACTAAAGATGTTTTAGAACAACAGCAGTCCAAGTTAATCTTGCCACTTTTCAGATTAGCTGTTAGCTTGTTTGTTAACATGTTTGTGTTTTCGCAGTTGCGAGTCGTCGGGTGCTCAGTGTTCTGGGCAGAGATGTTACGTTGGAAAAGACCTGTGGCTCCATCGCTGACTGTACCTTCGATGAATTGTGTGGCAGAGTGAGTATTACTCAGATTATTTATTTATTTATTTATTTTCAGTGCAGACATTTTTTAAAGAGCAATTACTTTTTATCTAGCTCTATAGCACTTGAATCAAGTTTAGCCACTACCACGTCCAGGTTAGCTCAATTTTTACGTAATTCAGTAAATTTGAGCTATTTTTWGTTTGCTAAGGTTGACTAGCTGTGTCGGCCATCTTGACTTCAAAAGGATGTCCRTTTGTCGATAGTTTTCTGAAAGTTTTATTAAAATCTGTGTAGAGGTTCATGAGATATTAAGAGACAGGTAAAAACATCATTGCCCACCTTTCAGCTTTTAGCAGTGGGCAATAATTTTAGCATTTTGTCATTTTCGCTCATTTATGTCCCCCCTCTGTGTCACTGCCCGATCCTTTGACCTCCATCTTATCTTCAATTCTGCTTAGTGTCAAAAAGCAATCGTGTTGATAATTTTGTGYRCGTGTGTGTTTGTGTGAAAAGTCTCAGCCGTGATGGAGAGTTTTAGCTTCAAGGCTTTCTCTGACATATGTTGTCATGTGTCCTCATTAATTTTAAGAGCAATCAAACTGAATGGCAGGAGCCCCAAGGACATTACATCAGCAGGAGTCTTTTGCACGACATGCTTTTGTTGTTAAATTGTCCTTTTATTTCCTTTCAGGCTGATTATGCAGAGTGTATAATTCACTCTGTGTCTGTTTGCTATAAACACATGTATCTGTTTGCTCATGTTGTGGGCAGGGGGCCAGACTTACATTAGCAACACTTTCTATTAGATATTTGCAGTCAACACTGWCTGTTTGTTAGCAAAATACCTTATGAACCACTGAATGTACTTTAATGAAACATTGATTTTATATTTATTATACAGTATGTACATCTAATTAACTTATTGRGTCAATTGAATTTAAGAKAGCTGCCATAGCTAATTGACATTAACCAACATAAAACTGTCTATAACTCAGTCAACATCACAGATACTTTTGATGCAGTAGCTGAGTCATTCACTCATGCTTTAACATGCAAACACATCTCATGATCAGGGGCGCCAGCAGTGGGGACCAGGGGGGCCGTGCCCCCACCCCCGAGAATAAGCTGGTCACCCTAGTGGTCCCCCTAGTTTTATCCTCTTGAGTACCCAGGTTTTTCCTTTTTCAATTCTCCTACCTATTTAGGAA